TGACACATTCTTCTCTTAAGTCCAGAGTTCCTGCTCTGATGTATAGTCCTGCTACCCTTTCATTGAGTTCCTGCGTTAAACCTCCTTTCTTGTACCCCATGTTGTCCTCTTTCTTAAAATCCTTTTTAATTTTGCTGTAAAGCATATTTGGTAACTTTTTTAAAAAGAACGTATGGAAGTTAAACTAGGTCCTTGCATATCCGACAGGTTTATTTAGCCCTGCTGTTTTTTTAGACAGCCCTTCAATTAATCACCTTGATTTCTGCTCCTCTTCCTGACCTTGCTCTACTTATTCTCTAATTCTATACTGTCAGTCGCAATAGCCACTAGCCACAGGTGAGCTGTCAAGTGCTTGAAACCTGTCTCATCTGAATTGTGATATGCAGTAAATGTGAAATATACACCAGATTTTCAAAAAGAAAAACAGTATTTTTATATTGATTTTATGTTGAAATGATATTATTTTGGATATATTATTAAAATTAATCTCACCTGTTTCTTTTTACTTTTTAAATGTAAACAGAAAATTTTAAATTATATATGTGACTCACATTACATTTCTATTGGACAGTCTTTTCTCATCCCCAACATGGCCCCTTCCGGGCCTTCTCAAGGAGCAGCATTAGCTCCTGCCTGCAGCCGGTCCTGGGTTCTTTCACCTGGCTCCCTTCATTGGGTTGTCTGTAGATGTATCTACATTGTCGTACAACTACAACATAGTACACTGACCAGTATAATCTCATCTATTTCCTATCTTTTGAAAAGTGTTTGAATTTCTGGTCTGTTCCTTTTTTCTCTTTTTTCCTCTCTCCCCACCCTAACCACAGGTATTAAATTAGTCTTCTTTGTTCTGCTTTGTCACATCTTTAGGATTTAGGAGGGACGAGAAGTAAAGATATTTTTATTCTGTCAATTGGGAAACAGAAGAATTGACTGATTTTTATCACTATTTTGAACAACAGTACAGTGGTCATCTTTATGCATAAGTCTGTCTGTATCTCTAGATATTTTCTTAAGATGGTTTCTGGTTCAGATTATATGACTTTTTTTTATGGCTCTTGATATACATATCGACAAATGTATTCAAAAAAAAGATACCAATTTATGTTCTCTGTGGGTTGTTCAATAAAAGATGGGAGCAGTTATCCAAAAGGTGCCAGATTCCATCTGAATCCTCTTATGTGGGCCTTTTATCTCAGCTTCCATGGAAAGAAAGCATGTCCTCTTTTCTGAATCACTTAACTTTTATGAGTCTTCATTTTCTTATTTGTAAAGTAGCAATAATCATGTCCTAAAGTAATGTGCATAATAACTCGCTGAAGGCAATATTTCCATTAATTCATTTTTGCAAGTGTTTGAGAGTCTCCTACTTATACTGAGTACATGTGCTACAGAAGGAACTATGCGGGGTGTCCAAATGATATAGACCGTGGCCTCAAAACAGATTTCTAATGAAGAGACTAGAGCGGGAAATAAGACACACTCAGAAGAAACTGTCTCTTAGTGACTTGTAATGAGGTAGATGCGTGACATTAAAGGGGTTTAGATGGAAAAGGGTTTGCACTCCACTTAAAATATAAAAGAAGACAGCCTAGAGGAGGTGGCACTTAAGGTAGGCCTTGAAGGAGGAGTATAATTTCAACGTAGTTGGGAAGTAGGGGGAGGGTGTATGAGGTGTGAGAAAGGCACAGGAGTGAGTTCTAAACAGAAAGTTGATAATGTTCACTAAGGTATTGGCAGAAGGTAAGGAAAACAAACATTTTTGTTTCTCTGAGTATACTTATTTTCATGTGCCAAACAATAAGGTACTTTCTGTATTTATTTCTGTTGTGCTTCAATAGGGAAGGCGGGGAGAAATCATCTTACTCAGTTTGGGCTCTGGCCAGAACTGAGTAGGCGAAGTTTGTCCATAGGGACAAGAACATAATATATTTACACTGGCCCTTCTCTCCCACAGAGGTCGGAAATTCTGAGGCATTTTTAAATAGTTCTGAGCCTGTGACACATTACACTCATCCCACCAAATGATAACTTGCATCAGAAATATTGAGATGTGGCCAGAGAAAGAAGATTCCCGAAGAGAAGAATAACTTAGACAGAGGATGGGCTGCCAATAGAGAGAGGAAAGGGAAGGCATTAGACCTTTGGTGTCATCATGAAAAGGTGAGGAATTTTGTGAGACAAGATAAGGATTGTGTTTTTGATCCATCTTTCTGGCCTTTCCTTCTGGGAGTTCACTACCCTCTGTTCTCTGACAATCTAGAACCATTCTGGTCACCCACCTCTCTCCCTCCCTCCCTCCCAAGTACTATACCTAAAATTTTTTTTGTCCTCAGCAACATTCAGGATTCTCTTTTTTGTTGCCTATAAAATGGAGCCAAATTCCTATGCCTGGCTTTCAGGGCACTCCCAGTCCCTCTGGCAGCTGTGGCATATACATACACATACATACATACATATCTCCCACGTTCAAAGGCTGTTAAATCGTGTTGTTTACCCATATCTTCAGAAAAAAATCACTTCTGCCAAGCAGGGAAACAACCTGCTTCCCTATTTATAATGGTCTGGCCCTCTAGCAACTTCAGTGCAAAATTATAGCTAATTTGCCTACAAACTTCAGCTGGTCATAATAATCTGGCCACTCAGTGTATATTTAACACCTTACTTTACATTGTACCGCAGCCCCTAACCTTGAGTCGGTGCCTTAATGTCTCTCATACACTTCTTCCAACACCAGCATCTTGTTCATTTATTTTATTTACTTAAACATTTACTGAATGCCTATTATATGTCATTTCTTCAGTGAACTTTTATTAAGCAACTGCTATGTTCTAGGCCTTATTTTAGAGCCTGTGAATAGAGTCATAGGAAAGGGGATAATGTTGGTAAACTAGAGGCCCAGTGCACGAAAATTCTTGCACTCAGTGGTGGCGGAGGGCGGGGGGGCCCTCAGACTGGCCTGGCCCTCTCGCAGTCTGGAACTCCTCAGGGATGTCCACCTGCTGGCTTAGGCCCGCTCCCTGGGGGATCAGGCCTAAGCTGGCAGTCAGACATCCCTCTGGCAGCCTGGGAGCCTTCAGGGGATGTCTACCTGCCAGTTTAGGGCCTAAGCCAGCAGTCAGACATCCTTAGCGCTGCCAAGGAGGCAGGAGAGGCTCCCGCCACCTTCCACTGTGCTTGCACCTGTCAGCCCAGCTTGTGACTGAGTGGAGCTCCCCTTGTGGGAGCACACTGACCACCAGGGGGCAACTCCTGCGTTGAGTGTCATAGCGATCAGTCGTTTTGCCATTAGGGTCAATTTACATATTGCCCTTTTATTATGTAGGATGGGAAAAGATCATGAGATATATTTGGAGAAATCATAGAGCACACTGTACTAAATTAGGTGTGACAGGAGGTGCCCATGTAGTCCCCTCAAGTAATCATTGCCTTTTGTATATGTGTGGCTAGCTAACACTGGGATCAAGACTCAGGTATTGTTTAGGTTCGATTCAAACACATTGCCAGACGGAGATGATGGATGCAGCAACCATCATGGTCCTGAACTCAAGCCACCAGCTCCACGATGCAGGTGATTTCTTAAAAAGATATGACTTACTGCCTGTTCCAGTTCATCTTGTCAAAATGGTCAACAGTTTCATTCTGTTTATACCTATCAGCACAATTGGACTCTGTCTTCTGGGGTCCTTTTTTTTAAATGGTGACTCCCAAAGAGCTAGACACTCAGAATCTGCCACTCGCTTACCTACTGTATTGGCTCAGTTCCCACTCCCTAAATGAGCCTGCCCTTTACTGCCTCAGTGCCTCTCATTACTCATCAGTGTAGTGGGAACAGAGATGATCTGGAGCTAGATCTGGGTTTGAGACCTAGATTCACCTCTTCTCTGTATCCTTGGACAAATTTCCTAGGCTGGTTAAAGGTTTTTGAGAATAATAATACCTGCCCTTCCCAGTGTGGTTTGTTATAAGGTGTAGGTGAGAATTTGTGCTAAAGTACTTAGCACGGTAGCTGTCACATGATAAGTACTCTTTTCTGTCCACCTCTCCTGGGGGGTTTCCTTTTAATCCTCCCCCTTCTCTATTTGTTAAAATCTGTCCATCCTTATTTAGCTTCTATGTCATCGACAGTGAAGCTTTTCCAGGATTCCCAGATGTGAGAGATTTCTGTTTTCCCTGTTGCAAATGCTCTATTTGTGGACTTTTAGACTTTTGAAGAAAACGGTCTAAGTAGCAGGAGGACTGGCACAGGAAAGTATAGAAATCTGAACAAAATAGCACTATGTTAGGAACCAGGAACATCAGGGTCAGTGAGAAATGGTATGCAAATGGTATAAGTAAGGGTGTTTTGCTATTCAATGTAAGATGTTTGATTCTCAGCCTATCTCATTCGAGTAGGCCAAATATGAAGGTTGACTCTAGTTCCTAGTATTAACTATAAAAAGGGGGCCACTCACTCCTCTGTATTCAGTGAGAGCCAGGTGTCCAATCTTCCAGATAGTTCTGTACTTTTAGAATTTGATGCTATGTTTTGATCAGAATTGGGCATTCCGTCTATAGATTTTTCTAGGAAGACCTTGCTTGGTCAGCAGAATAGAATGCATCCAGAATGACATCAGTCTGGCAAGCTTTAAAGAAAACAACCCAAGATAGCCAACACAACTGCTGTTTCTTTTATTTACCATTTTACACCTGGTACCATCAGGAAGTTACGTTTAAAAACAATTTTCACTTAAAAAAAAAATCCCATAGTCAAAAAAAGCACTGATTCGCTGTGAAGCTGGAAAGATTCATTCGTGGGAGCTGATTGTTCATATTTGTAGAATTTAGAATTTTTAGATGGAAGGGACCTTAAAGTTGAATAGGATCTTCAAAAGGAAACAAAAGGCTCTTCCTTTCTGCATGAACAGAGTTCATTCACAAGACAGTGTTTCTTGATCTACGAGGAGTGATTTCAGACAATTAGCTAATTGGTTGAGGGAGGTGACCTATCAGCTTTGCAGAAAGGATGTGTGCTCTTAGGGATACACATAAAGAATATATCTTAAGCTTTTCCTGACAGCCAAAAGGAGCCCCATTAATCCTCCTATGTAATGGCCAGTCATAACCACAGAGAAGGAGTATATTTCACTGGAGAGTAAAGCTATGCAAACCCCAGCAGCTGCCAACAGCCGGTCACTGTCACCATTAGCTCAGTGTTGTTTTAGGCTTTGAAATATTTCTGAATGATCTTCCAATTTGCTCTATTTTAAGGGGATAAGTGACCCTCCAGAAACAGTCTACTGCTTGTTTTTAAGTATTATCAGCTGCTTAGTTCATTGAAATGATACTTGTCTTATTATATAGAAAACAAGAGCATAACTCATTTGTAGCCATCTTGAAAGTCCAAATGGATGCACACAAAAATGGGTGGGGTGTTTCTGTAGGCAAATGTTAATTTTTCTCTGGATTTCAAATGTGAAATAAATTTAAAATGAAAGGAAAGGGTCATAGACTTGTCAAGAAGTGAATAAGGGAAAGATAACTGATATATCAATATGTTGAATCTCTTTACCCCTAGACGGAGAGCCAGTGAAATTGGTGTCATTGTTTTTTTGAACGTATTATTAAGATGTACTCAAACTATAAAGTTTTATGATGAAACTGGCTGTGATCATCATCGGATGTCTAGTCCCTACAGCCAAAATAACCACAGGACTGGTCATTAAGCATTAAGAGACAAGTTTTCGTAGCACTGAGAAGACCCTTATTAGGATAGTGGTTAAGAGGGCATTGGACATGGCTTGAATTGTTTCTATCACCTACCTACTTTATAACCATGGCTAAGCACATGCTAAGTATCTATATCAGGAATATTTTCATTTATTAAGCTGACACTGGTTTAAATACATTACATTACAAGAAGTCTAGGATAAGCACTTGCTGCCTTTGGTTTAGAGACTCAGTGTTACAGTCAAGGATGCTTAATCTTTATGTCTTCCCATTTAGCCATCCATCACATATTGGCTTTCAACCCCAGGGTAAAAGGAAATCAAATGCTTTCCCAAGAGTCCCCAGCAGATTTCTGGTTATGTCTTATTGTCCAGAACTGTGAAACACAGTTGAATACTTCCAGTTTGAAGGAAGACTAGGGAAGTAAATGTTATGGTATTCTAGACTCTATAATGAGGCAGATTGGCACAACATTCAGTTAATGATGATGATGGTGACAAAGCACCTTGTGCACTCCTGAAAATTCAAGTGATATGATAGTTAACATTTTATACTTTACGAGGTACTTTTACTAACATGCGTAGGGAGTTTGTTGGTAGTTATTGTTGTTGTTGCATGTTTAGAAGTTCTTTGATGATTGATCCAACAAAGAAAAGCCAACTAGGAAGGGGAGCATAGTTTAAGCCTTCACATTTTTTTTGGCCCAACTCAGGTCTATTGCTTACAAAACCTTCCTAGACCACCCAGAACCAAAGCTCACTGCTCTAAACTAATATCACTTATGATATAATATTTATTTGCTACTTTATGCTTTAAAAATACTCATGGCTTCTTAGCTAGGTTTGGAGCTCCTTAATCTCAGTCTCCATAGAAATGCCCTCTGGAATGTAGAGAACTCAGTATTATTCATTTATTAACAGAACATTTTCTGTTTCTCATTATTAGCTGAATTTGAGGTACTTTAGGGATGGGGAGTGATTACAATGATGCTTCTTTTTTTTTTATGGGGAAAGAATTTTGTTTTCTTTTGCTTAAAGCTTCATCTTTTTTTTCAAACTTTCCCCTTATGGCTCTTTTCCTCCTAAGAGAGTAGGATGTCAAGGGGTGAAGTATATCATTCCTTTTTTATTACTCCCCAGCCTCTTCTTAAATAAGCTTAACTTGGACTTAGCTATGAGGAATTCAGCCGTCTTTTGTATTAGAGCAAAAACTCCTGCCCCCTCATTGATATCTATTTAGACTTCACTCAAAAGGAAACCCTTGCATTCTAGCATCATTGGTGCCTTTTGGACACTCTGCCACTCTTCTTATGTCTTTTTGGAGGATTGACTTAAGAGGCCAATAGTATTGGGTAAGGACATCAAACCCATTGACTGATATCTACAATGAGGTGTAAACAAGTATCTGATATTTTGCTGAGACCAAGTGCTAAGAATCTGTAGGGATTTTGGAACTTGAAGATATTAGATGACCATTTACCAAGGAGTCTTTAGTTGCAAAGCCAGTTGGAGAATCCTATTTCCCAGTCCAAGGTTCTTTCAACATCATTCTCTGCTAATGTTAGAGTCTTCAGAAGTCCATTGTAGAATGTAGATGTCAGAGTAATCACAGTCAGATTTCTGAGCGGTTGAATCCAGTAGGTCTCTTCTCTTTACCATGACTCTGCGACTTTAGAAATAGAGATGAGAGTAGTTTTGCTAACATATTTTAGTATAATTTATATTCCTTTTAAAGTGACTAACCCAGTTTGTTTGTTTTGTTTCTAACTGCACAAGACCCAAGAATTTCCTAACATCGTGTTTCTCATACCCTTTGGCCACTTAGTCTTCCCACACTTTTAATTCCAGTTTTCACTGTTTGATGATGGTTGTTCTTTAGATATAGCAGATGTGGTACCTGTATTTCCAAGTTCTAAAATAGACTTTATGTGTAGACATTTGTAGACAAAACACAAAATCTTAATTATTAACTATTTACATTATAAAGCAGTTCACTATGGCTTGGAAGATCTGGAGGCCAGTTAATTATCTCCCCTTCCTTCTGATCTAAACAGTAGGAAGAAGAGCCAAATGGAGGTGAAGGTATCAACTCTACTCATGGCTGCCCAGTGGTTCCTCAAGTACAGTCTAGAGATGTAAGTCTAGGAGTGCTCCATGCACTGAGTGAAATCTAAACCCCTCAGGACTACATAGAATAAGAGAGGAAGCTAAGGATGAAATCCTGAGGGTTGTAGTTCTTAAAAGGATCCTCATGAAGACTGACAAGGAGCACAGAGTTGCAGGAAATTATGGTGTCAGAAAATCCAAAGGATTTGGGAGCAGCATTTAGGAAAATAAGGAGTGCCCACCTGCCTCAAATGCTGCCAAGAAATCAGTGACGGTGTGAGCCGCAACCACAAACGCATTCATGGGATTTTACAACAAAAGAAGTCTTAAAAAAAAAAAAAAAACACCCACAAAACTTGCTGTTCTCCCATCCCAACCTCCCTAGAGTCTAATCACATAGGACCGTCTACGTTTTGTTTTCCAGTGTACCTTCACAATGGCTCCCATTGGGTATAAAAATATGACACTGAAAGATCATCGGCCTCAAATTATTCATTCTAAACCTTGAGGCACGACTTAATGATGTGTGTCCGTGTGTCTGAAGGATGATTGGTGATGAGATTTTCCTTTGTAATCAGGGCCCAAAATTTCTGAGTGTGAGGACTGTAAACTGTGGACTAGGAGGAGGTACTGATGGGGCAGCAGGGGGATGAGTCCTTCAGAGGGTCCCAGGGTCCCAGGCAGCCCAGCACTGCCTCCTCCTGTTATTTGTAGGATAGGCCTCTGCTATGTGAGGACTCTTGATTCGTTGTTGTTCAGTGCCGGAGGAGGAGGAACGTTGATATTGGGGACGGTTAAATGTTGGCAAAATTAGGCTTCTGGAAATATAAGAGAAGAGAAAAGAGAAGGCTCTGAAAACAAACTTCCGTGTTCTTCAAATTTCTGCTCAGGCCCTAGACAGCCGTGGGCAAACTACGGCCCGCGGGCCGGACCTGGCCCGTGTGAAATGAATAAAACTAAAAAAAAAAAAAAAGACCGTACCCTTTTATGTAATGATGTTTACTCTGAATTTATATTAGTTCACACAAACACTCCATCCATTCTTTTGTTCTGGCCCTCCGGTCCAGTTTAAGAACCCATTGTGGCCCTCGAGTCAAAACGTTTGCCCACCCCTGCCCTAGGATGTGAAGGGAATAGCGTGGGCTGGCTTCTGCCTCTAAGCACCTACAGAAAGATGCTTTCCTAAAGCCAAACAAATAATGCCATCTAATAGATACCTTTTGGTCTCCTAATGTTGCATTTTAATTTCCCTGCTGTTCAAGCCAAGCTTTGATTTGTCACTCCAAATGCTTTCAAGTGCAAATAAATTTCCTATATTTCATTGCCACCTCTATGCAGGTTTCCTAACCCTTTAAATCTTCCTAACTATTAAGTCGTGAGGTTTATTACATGATCATCAGAATTCACTTAAATATAGGATATAATTTGTACCCCCTACCCACTTCTCCCATCATTTGAAGCAAGCCATGTGTATAAGACACGAGACCCATACCTTCTGTGCTATAATGACTTGCGCACAGTGAGGACTTGATTGAGGTTAAATTGAAATTTAAATCACACCAGGTGCCTGATGAGCTAGCTTTTCCTGGGGAATAAGCCAATGCTGAATTGAGCGCATTGGGTTGGTGGGTGGGGAGGGTTGGAAGCCCAGTAGCGGGCTTCCTCAGACAGTTCTTGAAGAACTAGGGGCCTCCCCACCAGCTTCCAATAGCCTGAGTATTTTTAGTCCTCGCTTTTCATGTAAGTTTCCCGTTAACTGCTTGCAGGAAATCTTTTCTTGGACATAATCTGCCCATTTCCTGAAGTCTTCCTCTCCGCATTGTGTCAGTTAGGGGATGAATCAAGTCAGCAGATTTAGAGAGTGTGTGTTCTCTTCCCTGCATGGCTCCCCCTTTGTGGAATACCAGAAAGCTGCCTTTCTTGTCTGTTTCTAGGGGTGAAGGGAGGAGGGGCAAGTCCTTGGTGTGTGTGTCAGCCTCTTAGGCAGCCTGGCACAAATGTCCTTTTGTATGTGGAGGGGGCATGTGTATGTTTTGCCCCTTCCCAGTGGACACTTCCATTTATTAGGGCCGGATGGTGTCCTCTGAGCTGTAAACAATGGTGTAGGAGATAAAGAGCCGCCTCAGTGAGGAAGCTGTGGTGGCAACAACTGGGTCCCCTTCTCTGCCTCTGCTCCCCTCCACCTCGTCCATTGTGCCTGTGGGCTGGTGTGAGCCAGCTGGGACCTCGGTCATTCCTTCTGAGGGCCGAGCAGCTTGGGCACTGTTTCCTAACCTTGAAGACGTCAAACTTGGAGAGAGAGGCTTTCCATGATAAGGATAACAGTTTCTCACGTTTGCACAATGTTCGTTTTTAAACGTATCTTTCGAAGAACTGAAATTCTGGCTTTGAATGTAGGGTTTGTATCAAAAGATAGGACTTTGAGTGCTGGCCCTGCTCTTTAGTAACTGTGAGACCACAGGCAAGTTACGGAGCTAATGACAGTTTCTGCTTCATAGCGAGTTCCAAAGCTTAAATGAGGAAAAATATATAAAGTGTGTGCCACATAAGAGGCACTCAAATATTAACCCAAATAAAAGGGGAGACAGAGAGAAGTATTAAGTGAGATAATTTAGATGAATATGCAATGCATGAGATGCTAAATGTTTTAGTTACTGTTTGGTGTGAGGTCTGAGACTAAGCATTTTCTCTCACCTCTGAAGCTTCCCTCTCACCTGGACTCTCTCCCTGACCACTTCTTCCTTGTCTCAGGTGTCCATCACTGTCAGCTCTTCTCTCACATGTTATTGTGGTTCTGCTGAGAGCAAACCACTGTCTTGAGGCCAGCTCCTAGCCCAGTGCTTGGTGCAAAGTAGGGTTCAACAATTAAATGATAGATACTCATTGTGAGAAACTCCAAAATGCACCCCCTTTCCCATCCACAGAGGCCTGTCCCTAGTCACGCAAGCTTATTTCTTGATTTGTTGTTGTTAATCCTCACCAGAGGATATTGTTTCCATTAATTTTTAGAGAGAGTGAAAAGAGAAACATTGATGTGAGAGACACATTCTGGGAATCAAACCCATGACCCTACAGTGCACTGGCTGGTGCTCTAACCATTTAGCAACCCAGGCCAGGACACTTATTTTTTTTATTTTTATACCCAGGTGTTAGAAATGGAAACCATTCCATAGGCTTTCAACAGAAGGGAATTTAATATAAGGAATAAGTTGCTTATCAAATGCATCTAGGAAGAACTAAAGCTAGATGTTCTCCACAAGTGACACTTCCCATGCTCTCAGAATACTGCTGCAATGATCAGTCCACATCCCACTCTGCCCTGTAGCTGTCATATAGTTAGTGATTGGGAGGTCAGACCTGAGAATCTATTGCTGCCCCTGCCCCCTGGCACTCAGGAGGCTGGAAAATGCCTCAGCTGCATAAAAACCCTTTCATGGCTACACTCTTGTTTGTCAGAGAAACAGGAAATAGCCAAGAGAGCAGGAAAATGGTCTTTGCCTCACTTCTAACCTGCCAGTCTTGTATGAATGCAAATAATTGGCAGATTAACTGCAAGCAACTCCTGTAAAGGTGATTTTTTTTAAAGTTTTCTACTAGAGGGGAGTAGGTGGCATTTGAGTGAGCCACCCTGCAGTATATATCACACCAGCTTCATCTAGAAGGTACTTCAGGTTGCGATATGACAGGATAAAAACTGGGTGAGGAAGTACCAAGAGGTTCCTCTGCATCCAGTTGTTACCTTCCAAGTGCAGAATCACTTGGATCACATGTCTCTATGGGAATCTTCCATATCTCCACATGGCCTTGAAAGGGTCTAAGTCCCCATGGGATGGACTAACAAGTGTTTGAAGGAATGCCCTCTTGTCTATGTCAGGTACTGTGCTAAGCAGAGGAAACACAAAGTCAGAAAAGAAAGACAAGGCCCTGCCTTCAGGGAGTTCTCAGTAGCCTAATATAGTGATATGGAGATGAAAGCAGTTACAAAATGGTATTATAAATGCTAAAATAGAGTTAGTCTCAGGAGCCCAGAAGAGGAGATGAAATGACAATAAATATGAAAAGGCTGTCTGTATTCATGTGAAGTTATGAGTCTAGCCTTATAAACTGAAGGAGATTATATTTTTCTCCTGTTCACCCAGCCTGGACACAAGACCCAAAAATCTTTTTTTTCCTTAACATTTTTAATGAAAAATTTCAAATATACAGCAAAATGAAAGAATTTTATAGTCTATATCCATATATTCACCATCTAGATTTTGCCATTAATAGTTTATGATAGTTGCTGTGTCACATATCTATCTATCCATTCCATTATCCATCCATTATCCATCTTATTTTTTAAAGCATTTCAAGTAAATTGCAGACATCAGTATATTTCTCCCTAAATACTTCAGCATGCACATCATGAACTCATTAACTAGAGTCCAGTATTTGTTTAGTATTTTTCTTTTAGGTAAAATGTACATGGAATGAAACACCCAAATCTTAAGTGAGCTTTCTTTGAGATACCTTTGTAACTCAAGCATCTGTAAGCATAAATTAATTACCAGCATCTCACAAAGTTTCCTCATGCCCTTCCTAGACAGTTCCCACCCCCACCCTCAAGAAGCAGCCACCATTCTGGTTTTTCCCCATCAAAGATTATTTTCGTCAGCTTTAGAATTTCATACAAATGAAACTGGTAGTATTTGCTCTTTTGTGTAAGGTTTCTTTCATCTAGCGTTATACCTTTTTAAAATATATATATTTTTTTTATCAATTTCAGAGTGGAAAGGAGAGGGAGCGAGAGATAGAAACATCAATGATGAGAGAGAATCATTGATTGGCTGCCTCCTGCACACCCCCTGCTGGGGATCGAGCCCGCAACCCCGGGCTTGTGCCCTTGACTGGAATCAAACCTGGAACCCTTTGGTCTGCAGCCTGACGCTCTATCCACTGAGCCAAACCAGCCAGGGCCCAGCGTTACACCTTTGAGATCCATCCACGTAGTTGATTGTGTTTATAGCCCATTCCTTTTTACTGCTGAGTAGTATGCCATTGCATGAATGCCCAGGTTGTTTATCCATTCTCCTGTGGATGGATACCTGGATTATTTCCAGTTTGGGACTATTATGAATAAATCTACTCTGGACCTGTAATGTACTTTAAAAAATAAAACTTTTATTTCTTCACACAGCTTTAGATTTACAGAGAAAATGAAAAGATAGTGCAGAGATTTCCCATATACCCAACATCCAGTTTCCCCTATTATTAACATCTTACGCTCAATATCTTTTTTAAAGCTCCCTTTGGCTTAATGGATTGCTGTTGGGGAAGACTGCAAATACAATGCTACCCGTAAATACCCATAACGGGAAATCATTTTTGTTGTTCCTTTGAGATTATTGACCCAGGATTTATTTTGTCAAATAAGTCGGAGTCATGAATGCCTAATTGTTGGCCTGTATCAATTCCTGCGAGTCTTACCTAAGGAAG